CCAACCAACTGAGCCACACAGGTCACTGTTTGTAAAATATATATTTTTTCTTTGTATTTATTGGCTTTTAGTGTAATGGAATGCGGGGAGAGGAGAAATAGAGAGAGAGGGGAGATCAATTTGTTTTACTTATTTTGCATTCATAAATTGATTATTGCATGGGGTCTGGGCATGAACTGAACATGAAACATTGACACATCTGTATCATGCTCCAGCCAACTGAGCTACATGGCCAAGATCACTCCCCCCACCCCCCAATATTTTGTTTACTTTTATGAAGCTTATATACAGTCAGTGGGCAACATCCTCTCCACTGAGGGCCTGAAGAGAACAAGCACCTGGAAAGGCTGAATTTACTCTCTGCTGGACTCCAGGCCTTTATCCTAGCCAATCCTATCTAATAAAAGAATAATATGCAAATTGACCATCACTCCAACACACAAGATGATTGCCCTCGTGTTGACATAAGATGGCCAGCAGGGGAGGGCCTTTGGGAGGGACCAGGTCTGCAAGGAGAGGCAGTTGTGTGTGATCAGGCCAGCAGTGGAGGGAAGTTGGGAAGGACCAGGCTTTCAAGGGAGGACAGTTATGGGTGATGAAGATGCAGGGGAGGGCAGTTAGGGATGACCAGGATGCAGAGGAGGGCAGTTAGGGGTGACCAGGCCTGCAGAGGAGGTCAGTTAGGGGCAATCATGCAGGCAGGGGAGCAATTAGGCATCAACAGGCTAGCAGGGGAGTGGTTAGCAGGTGATCAGGCTGGCAGGCAGAAGCGGTCAGGGGCAATCAGGAAGGCAGGCAGGCTAGCAGTTGGGAGCCAGCAGTCCTGGATTATGAGAGGGATGTCTGACTGCTCATTTAGGATTGGGCCTAAACGGCAAATCTGACATCCCTCTAGGAGTCCCAGATTGGAGAGGGTACAGGCTGGGCTGAGGGACACCTTCCCATCCCTACACAAATTTTGGGCACCTGGCCTCTAGTAATAGAAGGTTTGTGGACCCAAAGCAGGACACATGGGAAACCAAGAAAGGGGCTGAATGAAACGATATATGAACATATAGAAATAGAAAAAATTCACCAAGACTGGTTTGGCTTAATGGATAGAGCGTTGGCCTGCAGATTGAAGGGTTCAGGATTCGATTCCAGTCAATGGCATGTACCTTGGTTGTAGGCACATCTCCAGCGGGGGGTGTGCAAGAGGCAACTGATCGATGATTCTCTCTCATCAATGTTTCTGACTCTCTATCCCTCTCTCTTTCTCTTTGTAAAAAATCAATAAAATATATTTTTTTAAAAAGAAATAGAAAAAATTTATCATAGGAACAGAGAAACAACACATAGAAACAGGGAAAGTGCAGGTCCATTGCTGGGCAAAAACAACACAGACGATGACACAGGTAGGCATAGAGCAGGCTTGTAGCAAATATACTGCCCTGGACTACAAGGATTACTAGGCAGCCCACTATTGGGCCCCTCTCCCTTTGTGGGGAATCTGAATCTACTTGTAATAAATTTCCATACTTTTGCTTAAATCTTCTGGTTCATATAGCTCATTCATTATTAGGTGCTACAAGACATGAACATGGGAAGAACACCTTAGCCTACAGTTCCAGTCATTATATCCACATACACACACACACACACACACACACACACACACACACACACACACACACATGTCCTAATTATATGCAATATACAAGCATAGCCACCCATTGTATTTTAATTGTTTCATAATATAATCTGAGACTATTATATGATATATTCTACAATTCCCTCTTTAAAAAATTATAAGAGCTTGAGCCAGTTTGGCTCAGTGGATAGCCTGTGGATCTGCAGGCCAAACTAGACCATCTGAAGTTCAGTGCCACATACTTTGGTTGCAGGCTCTTCCCAAACCTGGGCCCTTCTCTGGGATCCTGCAGGAGGAACCAATTGTTGTTTCTCTCACATCTATATTTCTCTCTGTCTTTCCCTCTCTCTTATACTTTCCCTAAATTCAATGGAAAAACATTCTTGAGTGAGGATTAACAAAAATAAATAAATAATTTATAAGCATTTATTTGAGCCCACAATGATGACCATTGCTGCAAAGCAAAATATCAATGCTTACTACAATTTGCTTTTTACAAAAAGTATATCTACAGTTTTGGTTTTGGTTTTCACAGCCACATGCAGACATATTTCATGTATTGCTTAAAACCCACTCCATAGAGCCACTTGTGATGTTGATGGTGTGTTCTCTGGTCCCTGCCTCCCTGATGGCAGAAAGGCCCTTCTTGTCTCCACCCTTCTTTTTTGGGAGCCATTATGCCAAGCTCACACTGGAAAGGAATCAAAGATTTTATGTTTATTGTTATTTAAATATATTTTATTGATTTCAGAGAGGGAGAGAGATAGAAACATCAATGATGGGCTCTGACCTGTTTGGGCCAGTGGATAGAGGGTCGGCCTGTGGACTGAAAGGCCCCAGGTTGGATTATGGTCAAGGCATGTACCTTTGTTGTGGGCACATCCCAAATAGGATGTTTGCAGGAGGTAGCTGGTCAACGTTTCTCTCTCATCAATGTTTCTAACTCTATCCCTCTCTCTTTCTTTCTGTATAAAATCAATAAAATATATTTTAAAAAATAAAATATATTTTAAAAAAAGAAACATCAATGATGAGAGAGAATTCTTGATCAGCTGCCTCCTGCATGCCCCCCACAGGTGATTCAACCTGCAACCTGGGTATGTAGCCTTGACCTGAATCAGACCTGGGACCCTTCAGTCCACAGGCTGATGCTCAATCCACTAAGCCAAAACAGCTAAGGCAAGATTTTACTTTTCTTTTCAGTTTCCTCCCCAGCCAAATGGGATTGAAGGGTATGGAGAAGTTCAAGGGAGGATTACAAAGGTGCAAATCAGATTACACATATTAACAAGGTTAGTCTGCCCTAGCCTGCAGGAGTAAAAGGAGATCTCATCAACCAGACTTCTGAACATCCTCCTATCCCCACCCTCGCCCAGGAGTCCCACCCCCAGGGAAGAGGCTTAGTGGGTGAGGTCTTAAAGGGATTGACTCTCCTAGTGGTATATATATATATATATATATATATATAGGCCAAAGTCACATTACTAAGCATTTAACTGGAAGGAGACTGGCTTCTTCTGAGACTCTTCTTGGAGACACACTTCAGGACTCACTCAAAGGAGCAGGCTCCGGGTAAGCTGGGAGTCAGGATGATACTGGTGCAGGAGGTGGGACCAAACTGAGAGCCATGGAGGTATTGCTCCCTGCCCTTGGCTTTCTGGGTGGCTACTTTAGCAGGGCCTTGACTTTACCTCATAAGCCAATTATCACTCGGGTTCAGGTTAAAAATTCTTGTTAAAAATACCAATACCAGGATTCCAAACTGACTTATGAGGTGACACATATCTATCTCTACTTGCAAAGGGCCCTGAAGTACTGTCCTGAAGCTGTGTGTAGGAATCCTCTTCAGGACTGTGGTCACATATTTTTGTTTAAAACCACAGATTCAGGTTATTTTATTTTATTTATTTATTTGTTATTTCTAAAAATATTTTTTATTGATTTTCTACAGAGAGGAAGGGAGAGGGATAGAGAGCTGGAAACATTGATGAGAGAGAAACATCCATTAGCTGCCTCCTGCACACATCCTACTGGGGATGTGCCCACAACCAAGGTATATGCCCTTGACCGGAATTGAACCTGGGACCTTTCAGTCCACAGACTGACGCTCTATCCACTGAGCCATACTGGTTTGGGCTGGATTCAGGTTATTTTAGATACATGCTTTCATTATTGCTGGTGTCCCTCAGCCTTGCCCTAGATCATTAAAATGCTAGTTAAAAATACAGATAACAGGATCCCAATCTGACCTAAGAGGTGATCTATCTGCATGTGCAAAGGGCCCTGAAGTACTGGCCTGAAGCAGCATGTGAGAATCCTCTTCTAGAATGTCTCAGTGACTGTTGTCAAATATTTTTGTTTAAAGCCAGAGATTCTGCCCTAGTCTGTTTGGCTTAGTAGATAGTGGTCCCGGGTTCAATTTCAATCTTGGCCTATGGACTCCATCCCCAGTGCTGGGCCTGTAGGAGGCAGCCAATAAATGATTCTCTCTCATCATTGATCTTTCTTTCTCTTCTTATCTTTTTCTTTCTGAAATCAATAAAAATATAATTTAAAATAAAACCAGAGATTCCAAGAGGTTTACCTAAGTAGATGTGTATGCTGACACTAAACAGAAGGGGAAGCTGAGTGCTATTTTCCTGGTTCCGTGTGTCTCAGGAAGAATAGATGATCAAAACACTCACCCCAATGACTCATTGCTGTCCTGCCAATGACTTTGAGTTGAATGTATTCTCCTTCCTTCTTATTCTCCTAATCCCCTGTTGAGGGTTTTGCCTTCTGGTCACACATGTGCATGGTGCTTCACCTGGGGTCTCTGCATAAAATCAAACTTTGGTATCAGGACCTTGCTCTTGGGCTTACAAATCTTTCTTCTACGTAGCACAAGATCACTTTTTTTTTTTTTTTTTTTTTTTTTGTGATGGTTAAAGGCAAGGGTGAATTTGTCTAGGTTGTGTAATTCCTTTTAAGTTGAAAAATAGATAGACTTTGCTTCTAAATCCTTAAATATTATAATAACTCATTTGGGTATGCTGTTCATACAAGGAGGGAAGGGTTAATGCTGATTGAACTTTTAATGGTGATATCTTTTTGTCCACATAACCACTTATGACTTGCATGTTGCTTGTTTTGTTTGTTTGTTTTAGAGTCCACAGCTGATCTTCACTCGGAGAAACCTGACATTAAACAAAAGAGAAGGTGAGACAGGAAGACTGGACGGCAGCTGCCCACTGGAACTCTTCTTGGAAGCTCCTAGTGCCTTCTACAGAGCGGGAGGCCAGAGCAGACCTCAGCTTCTCACATTTCCTCACCCCTGCAGGATCACATGGACTGAAGGACAGTCTCTTCTGATAGACACCCTCACTGCACTATGGCCTATCCAGCTTACTTGGCCAAGCTCCAGGCAAAGGCCAGCTGCCCCATCTGCCTGGATCACCTGAGAGACCCCGTGACCACTGAGTGTGGGCACAACTTCTGTCCCTCTTGCATCCACCAGCGCTGGGAAGGTCTACAGGACACCTTTCCCTGTCCTGTCTGCCTCCACCACTGCCCTGACAGGAGCTTGAAGAGGAACCCCCAAATATGTCACATGATAGAGATTGTCCAGCAGATCCCCACCTCAGGGAGCCAGAGGAAACTGCAGGAAGAAATACCCCTGTGTGGGAAGCACAATGAGGCTCTGACCCTGTTCTGTGAGAAAAACATGGAGCTTTTGTGTGCCCAGTGCAAGGTCTCCTCCGAGCACCAGGATGGGCCCGTGATCTCCATTAAAGAAGCTGCCGCTATTCACAGGAGCATGCTCAAAGGGCACATTGGTGTCTTCACTAATAACCTTAAAAACGCCAAAAGTGAGTATAAAAACCAAGTTGCAAATACTTGGGAAGTGAAGAGAAAGATGAAAAAATGGAGGGAGGAATTGGACTTGGAGTGTAAAGAACTTAAGTGTTTCTTGGAAATAGAGCGACACAAAATTGATAACAATCTACCTATAGAAGAGAAGGATGCTGAAGAAAAATTAATTGAAAATGGGAGGCAAATTTTATACCATATGTTTAGGCTAAGCAATCTGTTAAGTGAAATAGAAGACAACTGTTTGCAGACAGACCTGGACTTACTCACGGAGATTGAAAGGATTCACAACAGCTATGGAAACTTAGAGATCCCAGCAGTGTTTTCATGTGAATTAAAGAAGGAGTTTTACAATCTCCCCCCAAATTATTTGGGCCTGCATAAAATGATCCGCATGTTTCAGGTAGATTTGACACTGAATCCTCGAATAGCCCATCCAAGTCTCAATATCTCAAAAGATAGAAAAAGTGTGACCTATAGGAAATCAGATGGTCTTCCTAATCACCACGCATTTACTTCTTACCCAGCTGTCCTGAGTTCTGATGGATTTGATGCTGGCAGGCATTTTTGGGTGGTAAAAATAAGAGGCACAGGTGAATGTTTATTAGGTTTCTGTAAAGAATGTATCCCCAGAGATATTCTCATATCATCATCCCCAAGCAATGGATGCTGGGAATACCAGCAGAAGAATCAAATATTCCGCCTTGTCTGTACAGGAGAATATCACATTGGCATTTTTCTGGACTATGAGTTGGGAGAGGTTTCATATTATAATTTGAATAACAGGTCATTCTTGAATGGATTAAGTGATACCTTCACAGAGAAACTCATGCCTTATTTCTCCATTGCACCTTCTTCAGAATCTCTTACAATCAGTATCATCAGAGTCTAGTGATGAACAATTTGGAAGAAATTTTGTATGTGCTTATTTTCTTCCCTCTTTATTGAAAGGAATACTTTATTAAAAGAAATCAAGATCCTGATTCCAGTCTTGATGTTTGAATGTTGAAAGCTTAAAAGACTCACCCTCCTCTCCTCTTTGACCTTACACCTGGGAAAGCTGATGGGAAAATCCCGGTGCTACATCCTTGGGTGCAGGTGGGAAGCTCCAATTAGTGTGGGCAGGCTCCCAGCAACAGCACCCAGTAACTACCATGAACCCCACAAGCTAGTCCCTTTTCCCTGTGCTCCCAGCCCACTTTTTCTGGTATGACAAGACATTCCAAGGAACTGAGCCACTGGGCCAGGCTTGAAAACCTGTGTTTTACAGTATATGACCTGCCAAGGTCACATACTCATTTTTGACCTTATGTGAAATTGTGAAGCTTTAAGAACATGCTCCTGTATGGATGCCTGTATGGTATTGTTTACTATGATTGGAAATAAAGTTTTACTGTGCATATCTCGGTACTATTTGTCTCTCCATAGCTGTAAAAGTTTCTCAGCAGAGATTTCATTGAGGTACAACAGACCCCTCTCCCTCTCCCTCTGCCTAGTTTCTATAATACACCCTCAGGTGAGGATGTAAAAAGTGTGGAATTCACAGTTTTCTTATCATGGTTCCATGTTCAAATCACATCTTCGGTTCTTCAGCCCTGGACTCCCTGGAAGAACAGGGTCCACCTGACAGTTACAGCTTCATTGCACTGCACTGTTATTCTACCAAGCAGCCTGGGGGCAGCAGCCATCCAGGCTTCCCTTGGGGCTTAGAGGCAAACACTTGGGTTTGGTTGGAATAGAGACTTTCACGTATTCTGTCCATTGATCCTAACAAAATCATCTGCACTGGAGGCTGAAAACAGATCTGAATTTCTAATGCAGGTTTGTCTTATCTCATCAAGCCCATTTAGACATCTTATTGAATTATGCAACCAGCAATTTTTCCCCCCATTGACTTTCAGAGAGAGTGGAAGGTAGTGGGGAGACAGAGAAAGATAAATATTGATCTGTGAAGGACACATGCATTGGATGCCTCCTTCACAAGCACTGACCAGGGCCTGGGACAAAACCTGGAACCAAGGAATCTACCCATGAGTAGAATGTAACCCTGAACCCTTCAGTTTGAGGCCAATGTTCCATCCACTGAGCCAAACCTGACAGGGCCATCCAGCAAACCTTTTATGAGCTCTTAATAGGTATGTGGCACTGAGCCAAAAGCCTGGATGCACAGATCACCTCAGTCCCACTACGAGAGATCTGACCCCCCAGGCAATAGAGATCATGTAACTTGAAGACTTTCTCCACAGGAATGGCTGTGTCCAAATAGGGTGAGCAAAACTAACACCTGGATTATAGCAATTTTCCAATGGATATCATTTCGGGTTATTTGTTGGGAAGCATTTTAAAAATTAGAACAATATAGATAAATTTAATGAAAATCACTTGTTAAGTAGAACACACTGAAAAGCAAATTGCTCTCTCATCTTGAAGAGAGGTCACCCAATCTCCTTAGACCTTTCCTGCCTGACCATCCTTACCTGTGTTCTGTATCGAAGGGGGTTAACTTGAAATGCAGGCAGATAGCCGAAAGCGGTTTGGCTCAGAGGGTAGAGCATTGGCCTGCGGACTGAAGGGTCTCAGGTTTGATTCCGGTCAAGGGCATGTGCCTTGGTTGCGGGCACATCCTTGGTGGGAGGTGTGCAGGAGGCGGCTGATCGATTTTTTTCTCACTTCGATGTTTCTAGCTCTCTATCCTTCTCCCTTCCTCTCTGTAAAATATCAATTAAACACACACACACACACACACACACACACACACACACACACACGAGAAGAAAAAAAAAAGAAATGCAGGCAGATAGGGCAGGGGTCCAGTGGAAAACATCAAGTGAAACATTGGCAGGGGCAGACATGAAAGGTTGAGCCAGTCTAATCACAGGAATCAACCACACAAGAAATACTATATAATAAAAGCCTAATTAACTGTCCATTCAACCAATCAAAATGTAATATGCTAATGATATGTTAAGGCTGCTCAACCACTCGCTATGATGTGCACTGACCGCCAGAAGGCAGATGCTCTGACTTTTAGGTTAGCTTGGTGCTGGGATCCCACCCATTGGGACTGAACAAGGTGGGCTGGGCATGCCCTGGAGCTCTCCCATATCCGTCCCCAGCCCTGATGGTGCATTGGTGGGGCCCTTGGCCTGGCCTGCATCCTCTTGCCACCCAGGACCCTTCAAGGAGAGCCAACTTTGGCCCGATCCTGCAGGCCAGGCCAAGGGACCCCAGTGATGCACTAGGCATCCAGTAATAAAATGTTTGTGGACTCAAAGCAGGAGTCATGGGAAACTAAAGCAGTGCCTGCAGTAAACAAGATGTATGAACACATAGAGACAGAAAAAGCTCATCATAGGAACACAGAAACAACACAGAAACAGAAAGTGCATTGCTGGGCAAAAACAATTCAGGGAGTCACGGGTGATCACACAGATGGACAAAAGCAGGCTTGTGGCAAATACATGCCCCTTGACTACAAGGCTTTAACAGCCATCCACCATTGGGCCCCTCTCCCCTTGCCAGGAGTCTAAATCGGCTTTAATAAATTTTTCATACTCTTGCTTAAATCTTCTGGTCCATGTAGCTCATTCAGCATCTCAAGACACGATCCCAGGATAAACAACTTGGCTCATCTTTACAGTCATCATATCCACCAAGTGAAAAAAAAAATTCTAAAAATATGCAATACACAAGCATAGGCACTCATTATATTTTAATTGTTTCATAATATTATATGAGACTACTATGTGGTGTGTTCTACAATTTCCTCTTTAAAAAGTAATTTGAAGCCGAAGCCGGTTTGGCTCAGTGGTAGAGCCTCGGTCTGTGGACTGAAAGGTCCCAGGTTCGATTCCAGTCAAGGGCATGTACATTGGTTGCGGGCACATCCCCGGTAGGATGTTTCTAGCTCTCTATCTCTCTCCCTTCCACTCTGTAAAAAAAATCAATAAAATATATTTAAAAAAAAAAAAAAAGTAATTTGAAGAGCTCTAGCCAGTTTGGTTCAGTGAATAGCCTGTTGATCTGCGGACCAAAAGGTCTGAGTACATCTCCCATCAAGGCCACATACTTTGGTTGCAGGCTCTTCCCCCACACTGGCCCTTGCCTGGGCTCATGCAGGAGGAACCAATTGTTGTTTCTCTCACATCAATGTTTCTATCTTTCCCTCTCTCTTATCTTTTCCTAAAATTCAATGGAAAAACATTCTTGGGTGAGGATTAACAAAAATAAATAATTTATAAGCATTTATTTGAGCCCACAATGATGACCATTGCTGTGAAGCAAGATATCAAATGCTCCCTACAATTTGCTTTTTTACAAAAAAAATACATCTATAGGTTTTAGTTTTGGTTTTCACAGCCACATGCAGACATATTTCATGTATGGCTTGAAACCCACTCCAGAAAGGCGCTTGTGATGTTGATGGTGTGTTCTTTGGTCACTGCCTCCCTGATGGCAGAAGGGCCTTCTCTCCACCCTTCTTTGTAGGAGCCATTATGCCAGGCCCACATTGGAAAGGAAGCAAAGATTTTATGTTTATCATTATTTAAATATATTTTTATTGATTTCAGATAGGAAGGGAGAGGGAAATAAAACATCATGAGAATTACTGATCAGCTGCCTCCTAACTGCCCCCTACTGGGGATTGAGCCTGCAACCTGGGTGTGTGCCTTTGACCAGGATCGAAACTGGAAACCTTTAGTTTATAGGCCCATGTTCTATCCACTAAGCCAAATCAGTTAGGACAAGATTTTACTTTTCATTTCAGTTTCCTCCTCAGCCAAATGGGATTGAAAGGTGTAGAGAATAAAGGTGCAAATCAGATTACGCATATTAACAAGGTTAGTCTGCCCTAGCCTGCAGGAGTAAGAGGAAATCCCATCAACCAGACTTCTGAACATCCTCCTATCCCCACCCTCGCCCAGGAGTCCCACCCCCAGAGAAGAGACTTAGTGGGTGAGGTCTTAAAGGGATTGACTCTCCTAGTGGTATATATATAGGCCAGGGTCATATTACTAAGCATTTAACTGGAAGGAGACTGGCTTCTTCTGAGACTCTTCTTGGAGACACACTTCAGGACTCACTCAAAGCTTCAGGCTCCAGGTAAGCTGGGAGTTGGGATGATACTGGTGCAGGAGGTGGGACCAAACTGAGAGCCATGGAGGTATTGCTCCCCGCCCTGGGATTTCTGGGTGGATACTCTAGCAGGGCTTTCATTTTACCTCATAAGCCAATGATCACTCGGATTCAGGTTATTTTAAGACACATGCTTTCATTATTGCTGGTGTCCCTCAGTTAGCCTTGCCCTACATCATCTTTTTTTTTTTTTTTTTTCATGGTCACTTATTTATTTTTGATACAAATGTACAGGATACACTTCTTGACAGCAGCCCACCCACCACCATACAGGTAGAGCCTGGCCCCTGGGCAGAGGCAGGAGGGGAGAAGAGCTGGTGGGCGCTGCCATCTGCCTCCAGCCTTCCCAGCTGCAGCCCAGGCTCCAGGCACCCGGACACCGCAGGCACAGGTGCTAGCCTCTCCGAGGTTATGGTGGGGGGACTCTCAGCTGAGTCAGGGACCCCAGGGAGCCAGCCCCAGGCTCAGTGCTCAGTCCCAGCCAGCACACCCCCCTCCACAGGGAGGGGAAGGGTAGACGGAGGGAAGTGGTTTTCATTTAAGTTTATAGAGAAGGGGTAGGAGTGGTGGGAGTGATGAGGGAGGCAATGGGCAGGACCCAGTTGGTTACTCTGCCAGTCCCTGGCCCCAGGATGGGTGAGGAGAGCTGACTCCCCACACTGGTCCTGCTGCTCTGGTCCCCTCACCCTCACAAACTCCAAGCGGACCAGGGCTCTAGAACGGCACTGCCGCCCCATCCACTCACACGCAGGGACA